TACCTGACAACTGGAAAATTCCAACGAGAAATGAAAGTTGAAAACAATTCTGAAAAAAAATATATATATATTTATAAATTATCATTCCAATGTTCCAATTATAAATTTTCTAATTTTATTTCATTAGTTTTCGTCTAAATATGAGTTTTCCCTTCCAACTACATTTATTTGTTAAAGATGGAATTAAAGTATGAACGAGTTTATGAAATATTTTAATTAAACTTTGATTTTACTACAATAAATATCTTCTTATTTATATTGGATTAACCTATTTATGACTTTACATCTTTACTTAGAATGACAGTCCAATTAAAATATTTCATTAACTTATCCCAACTTTCATTCCATCTCTAGTATGCAGTTCAAATAAGAAGGGATACCCCATTCTTGGAAGGAAAGTTTTCGAACTACGTTGCATAACATATACGTATGGGGCCTTTCCGTATAAAACGTATAGGTAATATATGTACGAGATCTGTACGAGAACCTGTACGGGAACCTGTAGGTCTTGTACGTCCCCGTACGAAAAAGCAAAAAAAAAAAAAAAAAGTCTTAAAAAAAAACAGAAAAAAATGTATGTGATGCCCGAATACAAAACAAGCAACATTTGGCTAATCATCATTTTCAGATTGTTATTTTAATTTGGGGAAAAAAAATATTGAATTAAAAAAAATAAAACTCGTACGGGGCCCTTAGCGTACAAGTAGCGTACGAATACAAGAGTACAAGTACAAAACAAGCAACATTTGGCTGATCATCATCTTCAGATTCTTATTAAAATTTGAGGAAAAAAAATATTGGATTAAAAAAAAAAAACTCGTATGGGGCTCCTAGCATACAAGTAGCATGTGAGTACAAGAGTACGAATCCGTACTTGTACGAGGATGCGTACAAGTGGCATCGCAATTTTCAAGTAAGAAGGAAAATTTTAAAATCGGAATGACATTTTCTAAAATGGAATGAAATTTTCAAATTTAGAAAGTAATTTTATTATAGAATGATTATTTAATTCTGGGAAATTTTTCCGTTGAAACAGTTATTCAATACAAGGCGTTTGCCAAGCAATATGAACTTTCAATATTTCAAGATAATCAATAAGATAAGCTTTATTCGTTGTGACTATCAAAAAAAAAATTACAACCTGAATATACCATTATTTGCAATTCATATTTTTTAGCATTTCTCTTGTTAATGTAGCATTACTGCATTATTAGCAATTTGATTAAATGCTAAAAAAAAAAATCCCATATTCATTCCCTCTATAATAGGTTTAAGTCCTGTCATAGCAGCACTGATTGCTATTCATGTAAAACTGTTTTCTCCAAGTGTATCAAGTATTCTCAAATTACCATATTTAAAAAAAAAAACTTTTGTTACTTTATAAGATCCTCCATAATGACCAATATCTTCACCTATTACAAAAACTTTAGGATCTCTTTTTATCTCTTCATGAATACCTTAATTTAAAGCTTCATATAATAATTTTTATGCCATTTTCTTTACATGAACTTTGAATTCAATTTGCTAGAGTAACTTGAATAAATTGTTGGTTCCTCAATCAATGTTCACACCATCACACTATTTTATTAAGATCTCTCAAATTTGTTTGCCGCGAGCCTTTGAAACACAATGCTCGCCGTCGATTTATTTTAACAACGGGACGCGGGTCAAAAATTTTTAGGAGACGCTTAATTGACTTCTCAACTTGGCTAGGGCCATGTACCGGTGCTTTAATTCTCAACAACAATTAGAAATAACTCGCTATGATACATACAAAATCGTGTGAGAAATTTTGTGTTCCCTAAAGGACATGACTCATCGTGCTCATCCTGTAAAATAAAATACATGTGGGACGAATGCCAAAAGGCGGTTATCTTCCTGGTATGTCGGTCCCTCGTCTCTCCATCCCACAAGATGGCGTATGCTTGTTCCTCGACTGAACATGTTCCTTTCTCCTTTACTATCTCCAACATTTATCACCTGTCCTCTTTATCTATTCCCATAGAAAATACAATAAGATTGTTCCTTATCTTTCTTTTTCTATAGCATGAGAGTCTCTATTAACTCTCATGAGCTTCCATGGTCCCATAGGACGATGCCCATCAGTTCGAAGGTTCCAAGAGTTTAAAAAAACTCGATAACGAAGGTACCATAACTCGCTCGCTTTGTTCCGCATCGATAAAGCTGCCGTACCTCACACATTTCACTCGGCGGCTCATGTTGGATGTGGGACGGTGATGAACAATTCCACCTTCACTGTGCCTGTGACCAAAGAACAACTCCACCTTCCCAAATCGCTGCTGGAAAGCTTGTCAAGCGTCTCACTACTGGCATACCACCAGGCAAGAACCCTGGCCGTGGTGGAAGAGCTCCGCCATTAGGAAACCCTAACGTATTGCTGCAGTGATGCGCGAGGCCGTTTTCACATGGCACAGGACCAGACCCATTGAAGGGATTGTGTGGTTGGTATGGTTGGGACTGCCCCTGGAGCAGATCTGGCCAGATCCCGCCTGGACAGTAGCACTGGGACGCAACTGTGAGTTGAAAATGCTCCTACTGTCCGGATTGTGAGCAACAGCCAGATAGTGGATCGGGGATTGACAGGCAATTGTCTTTTATGAAGGGGGTGTCCGTCGAATTGCGACCGACGGACCACCGACAGATGAAACAGAGCGTGCCCAATGGTGTAGTGTATTCAAAAGAATCGGTGCGCACTGAGTACGGAACGGACAGGAACGGAGGGATGTAGTGCCGCTTGTGCAGATCCCCTATCTCTCCGGTCCTTCCTGTGCGGTCAACCAATTCTCTTTTTTTCAATTTTCTGTGCCGTGTGAGGTCCCGCGCGGCCATCGCTGGAACCCACATAGGAACCACACGCGGCGGAAACTGCTTAGGCGCGGAAAATCTTCAGAAAATAAAAAACTGAAGACCACGGGACTGGGGAGATTCCACGAAATTGTGCAAATTCTATTGACAGACTCCCGGGCCGGCTGCATCTTCGCCTCGGTTGTCGTTTTGGCTAATCGACTGTCGCGTTGCGCCATAACTTGTTGGCAAAAGGTCGCTTTCAGGATCTCATATCGTGTTCCCTGGCTCCCGCTCTCCACCCCCCCTTTCCCCGTCTCGAGCCGTCCTTTCATTGTGCTGTGACTCCCAATTCATCCACATGAGTCTTCTGCCAATGCGTTGCGTTACCTCCTCGTGTAGGGTCGTGTCCATCTGTGCATGTTTTGCGCAGGAGGGAATCATTTCTCTTTTGTCTGTGATTGACATTGTCGATCGGTACATTGCCAGCGAGTCGACTGTCACAGCACCCGCCAAAGCTGCGGCTATTCGCAATGAAGGTAATAAACGCACAGCACGCCGAGTTTGAAGATCTGTCGGTTGTCTTTGCTTTCCCGATAGGCAACCTACCAGCACCACTGAATCGCCTGGGCTAGTTCTTGCTCTGTGTGTGTGTGTGTGTGTGTTTCAGTGGGCTAGTTCTTGCTGTGTGTGTGTGTGTGTGTGTGTGTGTG